ATTAATTGTGTACTAGTAAAACATGTGGCAATTAAATTTCATTAAATTATGCGCTGAGCGAGAGAGATCTGCTGATCTTTCAATTCTTAATGCCGTTGGAGCTTAAGGTGTTTTTTTTTTTTTTGCATTGGCTATCAAGCTTATCTTATTCCTTCCTCGCAAACAACTATCCAAGCGCGAGTTATTCTGTTTTCTTTAGCCACCGCCGAGGATATCGGTAAAAGCTCAATCTAATATGAAAGTTTATCGTAAGTGAGCTAAGAGCTTTTATTAGCTGCCGGTTGGTGGAGAGCTCAGCTTGATAAAGCATACAAAGTTCAGATACCTAGAATGTGACTTTCTGGGATGGGTATAAAGACAAAAAGCTGCAAGTCGCTCATCTTACTTCTGCTGCTGCTGTATGGCGCAGAAAGGCATGCCATTGGCATCCCTTCAGTCGGTTGTGAGAGTCTTCGGGTGGTACTCTGCGTATAGGCGACCGCAAATACCGTAGGTGATATAACAAAAAGCTGTATGGGATATAAGACGGCATTGAGGTTGTTCAGCGCATGAAGAGGTAGCGGCTCCGCTGATATTGGGATGGATTAAAACACTCCAGATCTATAAGTATTCGATGAAGTAGCCGCTGAAAGAAGGGAACCTCAACTTCTTTGCGCAGTATATTGCTTAAAGAGCTTGGAAAGAAGACTTCAAAAGTTTAATTTGTTCTAGAACTGAAGCTCATGACCTTTAGATGCCTTTTGATTTCGCTCAAACCGCAGCAGATCGCTTTATGGTTCGGAAAATCCACACGTAAGCCTGGAAAAGTCAATGCATTCCCGATGTATGGTGCGGCATGCGGTTCGGAGGCCACTTTAATTGAATTCTTCCAATTTCGGTGGCCCCTTCGAGTATATTTCAGATATGATAAAAGGCTCCTCTTAAGAACCCATCAGCCGTGTGGGGTGCCTTGGCATAAACAGTAGGTAGCAATCGCACACTAAATATTGGAGGAGAAGCTGAGTTGATTTTAAAGCCAATTTTACTCGTATGCAGAAGTCTTCGGAACTTCTGTATAGTACGAGTGGTTGCAAAAGCTCTCTGTGAATCTTAAAAGAGGTGCTTTCTCCATTCAATTGTCTATAGATATCCATATATATCCATGGAGAGATAGGGGGAGAGAGAGAGAGAGATAGATAGAGAGAGAGATAGGGAGAGAGAGAGAGAGATAGATAGATAGAGAGAGAGAGAGAGTGATAGAGATAGATAGATAGAGAGAGAGAGAGAGTGAGAGAGATAAGGAGAGAGAGAGATAGATAGAGATAGAGTGAGAGAGATAGGGAGAGAGAGAGGGATAGATAGAGAGAGAGATAGAGAGATAGAGAGAGAGATAGAGAGATAGAGAGAGAGATAGAGAGAGAGATAGAGAGATAGAGAGAGAGAGAGTTGGGGGGAGAGAGAGAGAGAGAGAGAGAGAGATAGATAGAGAGAGAGATAGAGAGATAGAGAGAGAGAGAGTTGGAGTGATAGAGAGTTGGAGAGATAGAGAGAGAGATAGAGAGATAGAGAGAGAGAGATAGAGAGAGATAGAGAGGAATAGAGAGAGTTATACTGTTAGGAGGATCTATTAATTGGTCCTATATGGAATTCGCAGTCAACAACGAGAACTGAGAGGAATATAAGGAGATTGACATTTACTAGGCAGTTTCAGGTAATATTTTTGTCTTCTGTTATTGAGTTTTCCCAATAATAGTTTTTCTGGTACATTTTAACACTCTTGCGGCCTTCTGTTCATCTAGACAATACTCGAGGTGAGGTCACAATGACCGTTTTAAGTGTGGAACTTAATAGGTTAAGACTTTCTACGATGTACTTTCTCGCTCAAATTTATTTTTTATTTATTATTTGACTAAGAATTTTTTTTATTTAATTTTTTCACTTTTTTGAAATACATTTTTTCATCAAACATTTGTTTTTCATGGCCTTGAAAATTTATATAAAAGTTTTTTAGTTATTAAATTTTTTTCAGAATAATTGATAAACCAAAATGAGAATGGTTATTTGGCAATTTCAAAAAATAAAACGCGAAAAGGAATCGAGAGAAGGATTTGAACCCGCCGCCGATCACTTTGCATTTTCGTTGGCAGAGTTGTTATTTATTTAGATCGCTGACAAAAGTATTGACAAAATCGCAAATATTATTCACTATTAGCAACAAATACAATTATAATTCCAATCATTCATAATAAAAGTCTAGAATTTTTTGTATAATATTTTAAATTTTAATATTTTTGAAACTTATTTCCTACATCGAACTTTTTAAATAAGTTTTAATATATTTAATGATTTTTAAAAATAAATGTTTTTAATATTTTAATATTTTTTATATTTTTCTATTATATTAAATACTCACTTGAAATTGCCAAAGCAAAAAGGTGTTTTTTAGCAGAAAATTCATTCCTCAGCATACTTTTCATAATCGCCCATAAAACTAAAAAAATGCGGTCGTTTTTAGCAAGCCGCTGTACAAACATTGCATTGTAGCTAAGCCCACAACCATTTCACATTTCCTCTTGCCACAGTCGATAAAGCAGTTCACCTGATTTTGTAACCAACAGGGCGCTCGTATAAAGAGTATAAATAATTTATTATAAATTTTGGAAATAATAAATGATCAAGAAAAAAAGTAAAATATTTTTTATTTGGAAAGGAGTCTAAAGTACATAAAAAAAAAATTTTGATATCAACAAAGTCGTTAAGCTTTAAGGTTATGATAAAGAGCCAACAGCTCAGAGCGATCCTTTCCAATTCTGATGAAGCTTTTTTTTGTTACTCAACGTTAATTTATTGTCAGTTTTGCGGGTATACCAAACTCAAACATAGTAGGGTAGATACAGCTCCTTTGCGTGCTATCGAAAACAGCTTTAAAATTGGTGAACAGATGATGTCTGACGACCCGTGATAAACGCTCTTTTTCAAATTCTGGCGATTGATAAATATTTAGTAGATGGTGGATTTATCAGGATAGTTCGTTGACGACGGGTTTCATTGCAGTCAGCTGATGGAATGTCTACTCAATCATCATCGATTGGTTTTTAGGCGCATCAGCCACATTAAACCCAGTATGCGGTGTTCAAACCTCCTTACACCCTTATGCCGACAGAGCCTTTCTAACGCAAACTGACATGTGGTACAACATGCCACACAGCATGCGAACGGAGTCCGGTGAACAGTTTATTTTACCTGGGGTTGGTCTAGAGAGACTAGTTCTAACCGACTGAGAGACGAGACGATTGACGGATAAGTGCAGATCTACAAAGTTTTTTTCTGGTCAGAGGTAACGCGGAAGTTACTCTTGCTCTAACACTGCGCTACCTGCCATATAATTCAAGTTTGCTGGGTAACAGCGGCCAAAAACTGTCACCTCCTCTGACCCAGTGGGTATCGTGGATCGTTCCCACTGGCCGATTTGCCGGGGGTATTCTTGGTTGTATGTTAATGGAGTGTTCCTGATGCTGGATCGCCGCATGGTATAACGATGACCACACCGTGGAGCCCCTTCTATTGCCGTGGACTTCGTACTTCCTCAAGCATAAATTTGACTACTGCGGCTGCCTAGACAGATAGATGGTCGTAAGAACAAGGTGAGTGCAAACACAACAAAACAAAAAATAAAAGTGATAAGGAGGTCGTTCACTGAATTTCCTTAGGGATGTCAGCATGGACTCGGCGATGGAGACTGAGATTATAGCTGAAAGAGGAACATGGAGCATGTCAAAGAAAGCCTTTTTGCTATACAACCCAGCAGAAAGAGCACCTAGAGTGGGCAAGAGCTACTTCGTGACGGCTCAGTCAGCCCGAAATAATGTAATAGCATCGAGCAGAAGTATGCGAAGCGCGAGCTTAAGAACCAAAATTCAATGTAGTTAAAAAAGTCGACCGCGAAGCGGTAGAGAAGCTCCGTAAACAGCAATAAACCTGGCTAAATCGCCAAGCTAGAGATAATTAGAGGACATCTACTTCAAAGGTGACTACCGATGGGCTCCCAGGTCAGAGAACGTTAGCCGAAAAACGGTACATAAAGCCTTGCAGTCCACGATCGCTTAGGCTAAGTAATGGTATCTCGTACGTGGTAAAGTTAAACGATGCTCTGCAACTCCTGCAGGCTCAAGAACCAAATATATGTACCACCAATGCTGGGGTCGAAGAAACTTACTCTAAGACTGCGAAGGAAGGATGGCTCATATGCTTCTAATGAGCAAAGGACTGGTAGACCGGCTGTACCTGGAGTGTGGCAAAATGTTGTGAGGTATGGACAGAGCACGTCTGGGCCTACGAAGGCGAAGCTCTAAGCTAACTTTTCAAACGAAGAAATTTTGTTTTTGAAATATAATCGAACTTTTAGAGGCGCTTTGTTACCGCTAAAGCGGTTTTAGATCCGAGCTCCATCACCAATTTGCGGTGTCCGTCTTGCTGAGGACCCTTCAATTTATTTTAAGCTGCTTTTGATGTTGTTATAGAACACTTTTTCTCATATATGTAGATACATATGTCAGCTAGACAATCGAAAGCCTTGACATTCCCTGCCGAGAGACAAGCGCAGCTAGAAAATTTAATTTTCTATAATTTTGGACTAGAACGAGGAGCTGTAATCATCGAAAATTTTAACAAAAATAACAACTCTGTTTAGGAAAATATTCACTTTCGCACTTATTTTTCCCCCGTTCACCGGATATCGAATAGGCAGAGTTGCATTCAATTCGATATCGAATTTCAATCACCGTTAGAGAGTGCCGTAAGAGAATGCGCAAACATTTACACAACATCTTGGCCAAAAGCACCCTGCCAAACATGTTACGGCATGCAAATAACGGTGCATACCACACAACCAACACTCACTCACTCACTCAGTCACTCACGAGCGAACGAGCGCATGAGAATTTCCCGTTTACACGTATGAGAATTTCAGCCACACAACAGCTTAAAGCCGATGCTCATTTAGTACGGTGCGTAAACCCCTCGCGAATGGAAGCCTTTTCGAACTGAGGCGCTGGCCAAACATAGTGAACGTGTCACCGCATCACACACTACACCACCACCACTTAGCACAATCAAGTTATTACACTTCTGGTGCTGAGAAAAAGTCTTAAGGAAATGAAAAGTTTAAATGAAAAGTAAAATTGTGAAAAATCAAATGGTAAAAAATCGGTGAAAACACCGTTAAACAAGCAGTAAAATTACACCTGCAAGCGTTTGAAATACAATTTGCTGCTTTTTTCGCTTTTACACACATTTGGCGTTGGCCGCCGTTTGAAGGGAAATCAGAAATTTCCTGCGCTTACTACGCGTGCTGGATTCTTTTCGATTAAATGAAATGAAAAATTATCACTAAACGGGCGTGAAAAAAGTGAGACCGAAGCCTAAAATTGTGTGAAATTCATCAAAAAAACAAAAAAAAAAAGAAAAGAAAATTAAATTAAATAAAATTTGCTGCAAAAGCATTTGTACGAATATATGTATGTATGTGTGTGACAAGCAGAGAAAAGTCATTAATTTTTCGAAATAAATATCTTTCGGCAGTGATGTGAATACAGATACATACATACAAAGTAGTAGCTGCATGGGAGTATATGAAAATTTATGTGCGGAAATTTTGCTGGAGCATTGAATTGTAAGTCGTCGACGTCGTTGTCGTTGTCGTTGTCGTTGTTGTCGTCGTCCTCCTTTTCCTTTCATATACCTACTACATATACATATACATATAGATATTGTTGTATTTCATACAATTCGTTTCATATCCTTCTTTTATTCGGCTGCTGCCGCCGCTGCTGATACTGCTGCCGCTGCCGCTGCTGATACTGCGCAGCCCACCAAAAAATTCCGAATGAGAAAATCTCTGTACACCACAATTTCTTATGTGTCGGTTGGGCGAGTAAAGCAATGTTTTTCTACTTGGCTTCAGCTGGGTTGGGTACAATGCCAAGTGAACTGGCAGAGGGCAAGGCATAGGATCGGCGTAATAAATACGCTTGACTATATATATGCACATATATATATATACATATATGTATTAAACATCATTAAATTTGCTTAGATATACTCGTATGTCTGTATGTGTGTATGTGCATGCATATATTTTTTAGCTCGACTTTGTCTAAAGAAGTCTAAAGTTTAGGCCCCCGAGGTGTTCCGCTACTACCCCTCGCCTCTAAAAGTGTGTGCTTAGCTTAGCTTTTTGTTGTTATTGTGCTTGTACGAAGCAGTAGTGGGGGTGTGCGTATGTAAGGGGCTGGTACTGTCGCTGGCAGGTGTCCCATTAAGTACAGAGAGGCGCGCCGCCGCCGCTGTTTTATGCCGACAGGCATACACTCGAATACATATACATGCATTAGAGAGTCAAAATACACACACACACACACACACACACAAATAACAATAAATAATTGGCAATTATGCTGCCACTCTTGGAAGGCATGAGAAAAAAAAATTCTTTGAAAAAAATAAGCATTTTCGAAATACAAAATGAAAGTGGTTTCGATATTAACGGAAGTCTGCTGTTTTGGCATGCGGATTTTCGAATACTCGCTTGTATGCCAGTGCTCTGCGAGTCTAATCAACGGCGTACACTCGAGAGCGAGGCCGTGAGTGTTAAAGAGCGGCGTAAGCTAAGCGCATGCGAGAGAGGTAGAGAGAGGGTGTTTGAAAGAGGCAGTGAGTGAGTGATTGCAAAAGAGCGCATGCATTTTCAGTGCTGCCACCTCAGACTCTGCAGGCTTGCTTTTTTAAAAATAATTTTTTAACCAAAAAGGTGCTCACCCAATCTTAAATTCTTTGTTTATTAAAATTTTTGGACTTTTTTTTAATTTCAAAAACTCTGTATCACAGCTCGACCTTTTACCATGAAGAGATTCATAGAAGGTGGCGCAGGTAATTCGTACATAATAAATATACATGCTGCTGGGTGTTTTTAAACTTTCTCAAAACTTCCACAAGTCTTTCAAAAACAAAATTAAAAAAATCAGTCTATAAATCTGACGCTTTTATCGATTTCCGAACGAGCTACACTACCAATTTGAGGTATCCGCTGTGATATTTCTTTCAGCTTATGGAGCTTCCGTACAGTTTCCGAACGGCTGTAGAATTTTCTATGAGAAGCCTGCTCTTTTTCATGTCAGAAGTACACTCATAGGGTTTGATATTCCCAATTGAAGGAATTTTCTATATTTTTTTCTGTAGATCTCGTCATGATTCGAATGAGCCTATAATCCTCCATATAGTAGTACACATTGCTGACCACTCAGCTAATGCAGCGAGTAGCTACTTAGATCTTTTGTGATACAGTGTTAGTCATATAAGTCTTTCGGAGATTCCGGACTCCGTACGATTTCTTGCTGACAAACCTTAAAACTATTAACAAAGAGATGGTATTTTTCAAGGACCGCCAGTGCATTGAGCTACCAAATCTAAGGTTGCACTTATAAGATCTGTGCAATAATATATTGAGTCTCCAAAAATCTACATTAGCCGAGTCCACAGACTAGAGTAAGAATCAAAGGCTGAGATCATGTCCTTTTTTCACGCTAAATAAGTATGCTCCTCAATAGTTCCGGACTCCACCTCCAGACCCCATCTATTTTGATACTAGCCAACAGTTCGATAGTGAAATCGACCTAAAGGAGCTTAACATTAGCGAGATTCATTAAAGAATCAAGTAGAACTGGCAGTCATACAAAACGCTGTTAGTTGTTAGGGTTACTGGTACTCTTTTTAAATAGTCAGACAGCGGCATTAAGAGCCCTTAAAAATATGTTCCAATAAAATCAGAAATACTGGAGAATTTGGGAAAACCATTTAACGTGTTGTCTAATCAGTTCTTTCTGAACCTTGTATCGATGTCGAGCACCTTCACATACCGGCTAAAGATATGGTGAAGGAGCTTGCACGATAAAGCGCTTGGTTCTCATTTTCCTTGTGAAGGAGGAGTTTGGACCATGGAGGAGTTCGGACCTGATGCCCACCACCTATAAGCCTACTATAAGAAGCTATTCATCGCAGATGTAGTTGGAAAAGTCTCAATTGTTGTAATATGACTAGAGCAATGTGGCCGATATGGAACAAAAAGAATGTCAAGACACGACTAGCTTATTTCGCTAAAAATAAAGAAGATATGCACAGAGATGCGGATTTTGCGAGCATTTTCTATTAAGTAGAAAGGCAGAGAGGTTGGACATACCATCAAATAATTTCTACACAAGTTGTAGAGACAAGGAAGAGCCTGAAGCCTTGAGGCACTTCCTTAGTGGATTCCACCCAGAGAGGAGGAAGCCTTGAGGCACTTCCTAATCCCCTACATTCCGGAAGAATAGGTTGTGGCCCTTAAGGGTTGCAATCCTTAGCGAGTTGATCGAATTAGCTTGGTCAAAGGCGTCACAATCGGCACGTTTAGTGTCCTAAGTGAGCTGATGACGCAGCTGTAATTGCTTCAACCGAAACCTAATCTATGCTCCACAAGTTCCATTTAATCACACATCGTCCGTCTTATAGTTTGCTTACATTGAGTCATGATGACTATTTTCGGAGAAAAAGAGAGAGAGTCGAGTATAAAAACAGATGCCCGGCCTGTTGAAGTTGTGCCTTTAAGGTGGCGAGATCAAACTTTGTCTGTTGCAGTGGATACTTCTCAGCATGAAAGCGAGTAGCCTACATTTGCTGTGATACAATAGTACTCCGTATCCATATTAAGATCTCGTGCACTCAACGACAGTGAAGACACGCCATAAACTTTTTGTAACATGATCGAATGGTTATGAGTCTTTTGATTCAATGACAACCTAGTCACTTGTTCAGGGTTTTCATGAATACGTTATTGAGGATAATCTTATGCGGCATGGAAGACAATTAGACGCTGTCCACTTCGGTGAGGCATAGTAGGTGAGGCAAACTCAGTCACCTGTTGTGCTGGTGGTATCTTCTTTGACCACCGTATGTGATTAGCCCGTTGCCAAGCACGATATTGATTACTGTGACTGGAGCTGCGCAAATTGGTGTCTTCAAAATTCACATGAAAGTTGTCCCTGCGTTTTACGATCTCTTCTTCCACCCCATATATTCCTATATGTATCTTTGCTGTGTTGTATTGAGAAACCTCGCTTTGTTTTATATTATGAAGATCACTATAATATTGAAATGTCAAGTCCAGTACAAAGACCCTCTGAATGGACAATGATGTCAGTGAAAGTTTTTTCAAAGCCACCACTGCATGCTCTCAAATCTGAAGCCTCAGAGTGATTGGCGCTTAAACTTGGTAGATCACACTGGAGACTTGGCTTGACTTCTTTTTATTTTCTAGACAGCTTTTTCTTACCGACGACTGGTGACTAGTGCCAGAAGATTCCACGGAAAGTCTTTCGACACTGTGCGGCTACCACAAGCCTTAGAAGGGTTCCACACGTCAGCTGCATGCACGACGAAGACGTAAGGGCAGAACTTGAGCAGAAAAACAGGACTCTTAACCATAAAATGAAAAAAAAAATTTTTTTACAAATTAATAATTTAATAAATTAATTAATTAAAATTATTTGCAGCTTATTTTTTAACCCAAAAATTTAAAAAAAATTTTCTATCAATTAATTTTTCAAAATAATGCTGGCAACTCCGATGAGAGCTTACAATTTTACTACACGCCATGAAATGTGCGAGCAAATGTTACCGAGTGCTCGCGAAAGAGCGAGTTGTAAAGCAGCCGAGAGCAGCCAAATGCGCGCTTCGGGGTATGAGCAGGCCTTGTATAGACGAGTATGTATGTGTGTATATACAAACAACATACCGTACCGTGGGTATGTATGCGAAAAGGCGCGCGCGTTTGGCAAAGCTCACTCACTCACTGATATGTGTATATACATACATACATACATATTATTGAATGAGAGTTGCATTTATAATTGATTTCATGCTTTGACATTTCAAGGATTAAAAAGGAGTCGACAATGTGAATATGTAAATCAAATGCTTCATATATATGTATGCATGTTTGTATGTATGTATGTGTGTCACATGAAAATACAATTAATATGAATGTGTGACATTTGTCATGCACACATACATATATACATATACATATATTATATTATTTATGCATGTATTTGCTCTTGTGTGTGCATATGTATATATATGTGTGTATGTGTGTATTACTTATGGCTTTTGTGGGCAATAATTTACGGTATAAAATAAAGATATTTTATTTTAATGGCATTAAAGCTGTTGCTCAGTGTATTTATAGACAAAAAATTATACAGGAATAACGGTAATACTCATACATACAATACATACATACATACATAAGAAAAAAGTGTTAAGAAACTAAGAAAATTATGTGTAAAAGTGTAATGTGTACGGAAAATGTGACAAACAAATATACAATACAAGTATATACATACATATATGCATACATACATATAAACATATATACAAACTGGCTAACCAAGGTCGTGTTTAGTGCTGGCATTTATATGGATGAAACACATGTGGCCAATAAGAAGTCACTGAGCTTTTAGATTGAAGAAAGATGCCTGTGTGCTTTGACTCGATGTATTTAACGGTATAAAGAAGTGTGAAAGAGAATACCAGAAAAAAGAAAAAAATTTGAAGAAAATTGTCCATTTGAGACTGTCC